GACGTCTGGAGCTTCCTATAATGTCATTGTGGAGGCCATGAAGGGCGGGGCTAAAGAGAAGGTTTTGGAGGAAGTCGTAATCGCTGGCGATGCTGGTACAGCAGTTTACACTCGCAATTTTATCCTTTGATCACAGAAAATTGAAAAGTAGAAAAGATTCAAAGAGTCTGAAGTGAAAAATGGGAAAATATTAAATCAATAACCCGATGAGTTTCTTAATGAGCAATAAAAAAAATTGGTTTTTTTGTCTTCAAAGGTGGCATCCCCATCACCCCCAAACGGGACGTGTGCTACGACACGTTCACACACACCTACCATGAAGTGGGCTCAGAGTGGGAGCGCATGTCAGAGACGGGCTTCAAGCTGTGGTGCCGCTGCCTGGGGCTGGGCAGTGGGCATTTTAGGTGTGATTCATCCAGTGAGTGGCTTATTAACCCCATCCCAGCATGCTTTGCAAAACCCTACCATGGAATTAAAGTCCAGTAATAATTCTATGTGATTTAAACACGAGGAATTTATAATAGGGAGGCATAAAACAAGCAAATGGAAATTCAGTTAAACACATAAAATGATGCCATTTGCCTTTATGCACATTATAAATTCCTGAGTCATAGAATCAGTGGATGTGCAGCAGCATGCAGTAATAAAATGTCAGCATGGGCAGCCACGGCAATGAGAAATAGACCTTTGCATAGAACATTTTTTGCCTCAGGTTTAAATGTATTTAAACAAACCAGTTAATCATAAAGAAAATGACTTTACTGTGTGTGAGTCAGCTGTAGCCTGCCCATGTGGATCCCTCTGATCCTTCTCTGCAAACTGTGAAAACCTCACATCAAACTGATCTGCCCGACTGAGCCTCGCACTCAGTTATTTGTATTGTGCATAACTGCAAAGCTAACACGACGATACGAGAAGCTGAGAGCATTTCATTTTTCTGTATATTTATTATGTGTCTGCACACGCTGCATAAATATGTATCTGTGAATGGGCTCGACTGATGAACTGCTTTCTTCATCTTTTGCACATCTGTGCATTCACTCCCTCTCTGCATCATTTCCTCGTCCCTTTCTTTTTCTGTGTCTGTCCCTCTCTTTGCTGCCTCTCCCTTCTTCAGAGTGGTGCCATGATGGCGGCAATAACTACCCTATTGGAGAAAGGTGGGATCGCCGCGGTGAGGATGGTCACATGATGAGCTGCACCTGTCTGGGCAACGGCAAAGGAGAATTCAAATGTGAACCTCGTGAGTGCTGACTGCCGGACACACACCAGAGCCGGGTGTCGTGTTAGGTTAATGATACGAGAACACGTTTGGTGTGAATAAAGTGACGAGGTCTATGTCAGGATTTTTTTAACGTGTTGAGTTTACTCTCATGCTTCTTTCATTTCTATCCTTCTCCAGATGAGTCGACTTGCTATGACGATGGGAAAATGTACCAGGTCGGGAGGCAGTGGCAGAAGGAGTACCAGGGAGCCATCTGCACCTGTACTTGCTATGGAGGACTACAGGTGAGAACGCCACCTGTAGTGTTGCTTTAAAGCTCTTTAAAGGTGTTTGTGTGCACTCAAGGCCAGGCTGGCTGTGTGTGTGTGTGAGCAACATCTCTCTCTCTTCTCTTCAGGGCTGGCGATGTGAGAACTGCAGGAGGCCAGGAGGGCAGCCTGAGCTGGAGGCTGACCTCCTCCAGCCTGTTCGCCCAGACGTCTTTGATCGTTACAGAGAAAATGCTCTTCGCAAACTGGTCAGTGTCTTTTTCTAATAGTAATCGTTCCAATGAAGATTTACATCAGATAAAAATGTAGCTGTAGCCCATACAACATGCATGTTTCCTCTCCCTTCTCCCTGTGACGTGCCCTTCTCTGTTCCCCAGAACATCCAGTGTCCGATTGAATGTTTGAGGCCGGAGCTGCTTGCAGACGCTATCAGCCCACAAGAGTAGAGACGAAAGGAGTACGAGTAAAGGAGGACAAAATGACGAGATCCCTAACAGCGTCAGCATCGCTTCAAGATGGAAGCCCCCGCTCGCTTTTGTGAAAAGGAAATATTCCATCAGATTTGTGCCTTAATTATTTCCCACCAAATTGTAGTGCCTTAACAACACTTTTCGCCTTTCAAAGACCTGTAGCAGCTTTCTTTGTGGGTTTTGAGCCTCTTTTCTTCAACAGAACCAGGGATTTCTTCCATCAGAGTAATTTTAGACAAATCTGTCAGAGCACAAATCCTGCTGCTTCACCCCCTTGAACGTTCATTCCCTAAATCGCTCTTTCTCACCAAAGCTCACACACACACACACACACACACACACACACACACACACACACACACACACAAGCAGTATTGTTATGTGTGTTTTGACTGTTGTATTGGTGCTTTTGTTTTCAGAACATTCCTCTTTCAAACACAGAATGCATTTATGCAAATCTCTAAATGTCTGCAGCCACCTTTTGTTGCCATATCCGTTTTTTTTTTCAAATGCATTTAGATAATGGTGGAATGCATTTTGTGGGTCCTTCCATATCAATAGAAAGAGGGAGAGCTGTTTTGCAAAGGCAGTTTCAAAGCCATGCAGTATTGCTATTGTACCCCAAAATAACTTTTAGCTCCTGTGGGTCAGTTTTAGTGACATATACAGAAATGACCGTCACAATCCGATTAAAATAAAACTGCTATGACAGTTTTTATTAGCGTGAATCTACATTCTTTGTAGTGAAGTGTAATTCCCTTTGTTACGAGGAAAGCACTCCTGTAAGTATCCTGTGTATATCTGTGGTCTGCTAGTTTGAAGATCAGCTGATCTTTTTAAATGACAGAAAGATTGGAAACAGCCTTTCTGTTACTTTTGATGTGTCTGCTATTAATCTTTAATTCACCATGCAGACGGTCGTCATCAGCAATATGAGTACAAATTATAGAACCTATAAAAAATTAAAAAGTAAACCCAGAACTGGCTCACCTAGAAATGTAACTGTTGTTTCAAAAATAAGTTGGAGAATTCACCATCATTTCCCCGTGGATTACATTTGAGTGTTTTTTTATTTTTTAATTCAGTTCTTTTATTTATCCCTTGTTATTCAGGCATTTTGTTCAGTGCTATTTTAGGGTGTACACTTTATTTTTGATTCATTTGTTTTTTATGTTGTTGGTGCCAGACTCTGAACTACTGTGGACTGAATCTTTTTAATAAACCGATAAAAACACATGCCTGTTAGTGAGACTGAATTCATTCCTAGTTATCTCTTGTTTTATACAGTGCCTGAAGTCACTTTTACTTCAGTGAAATTTTACTTACTTAGTTTGGTCAGCAAACGCTGTAGTTTTAGTCAGTTACCTATTAAAACCTTGGTAAAGACTTTGTTTAAAAAGCCTAAATCAGAGAATCATGCGGGGCGGATCTAGAGAAATTTTCTTAGGATGGCATGAGGGTGGCAAGGAAATCAAATGGTGTGACAAAATCAAAGCCTTTTTTTTTCAGACACATATGGAGGTGGTTACATATTGTTACAATAATTCAAATGCAGTAAGTAAATGCGTTTTTCATATAAATATAGTTTATTATTATTTTCTGCAGCTCACATAATTAAACGCTTTAGTTACATAAATCATGCAGATTTTGATCTTATGTACTGTACAGCCTGTATAATAAATATATAATATGTAGCCTAAGAAGTATAAAATCCACAAAGCTATGGGGCGGTTCATTTACAAAGAGTCTCACTTGCGTTTCATACTTTTTTGTTAGAAAAAAATCAAACTGTTACATGCTTAAATTTATACACCATGTCAGAAATCTGCACTGTCATGAACAAAAACTTAAACCTAATTTTTCATGATTTGCTGAGTTAACCCTCCGAGGTCCAAAATATAACTGGCCATTTTTGATTTTACATTTGTATTTCACCTTTAAATTGTTTTATTTTATTGTTTCCCCTGCCTTGCTTGGTATCATTCTTTATAGCTCAACCTCACGGGTCTGAATTTAGTTGTTTTTTCATTGACATACTGTATTAATGCAACTGATCTGAAATCACACAAAAAACATAAAATCCTAGTAGTGGCGGGTTTTTTTTAAAATTGTACAGCCATTTAAAAATGTTACAATAACTAAAATGAGAGAACAATTAGGTGTCGCAATAAGAATAACACAAATTATTTGTGCCAGTAAAAAAAAATGTTTGTCCGCCACAAGACAGAGAAGAACACCACAGACCAAAACCCTCTAGGCCCGATAACAGCAGGTGTATCACTTCTCTTTTCCACCTAGAGACAGTGTTTACATTGCAATCTGCCTTTGTGACATTCGTAAGTGCCCTCACTGACACACAAAACAAAACGACTTTTTTAAAGGTCGACATAGTACATTTGCACATACAAGAGGTGGCTTTTTTTCTTTCTTTACTGTTTTGGTGCTATATATATGTGTGTGTGTGTGTGTGTGTTTATATATATGTATTAACACAACTCAGGATTTAGTGGTCTGTCATTAAAATTTAAAAACTGGTGTATTCTTACTATCATAGGCATCGCTTGCTACTGAAAACAAAAGGGGGTAACACAGAGCAATATATTCAGTTTAAGAATTTATGTTCACTGTTAACTGTAACTACGCTCAAAGTGTTAATTCTATCTTATTTTAATAAATAAAACTGTCATATGCAAAACTAGGGTGGCACGTGGGGTGGCAAGAGATCATTTTAGGGTGGCACCACCCACCCCACGCCACCCCATGCCACCCCATGCCACCTTTCTCGATCCGCCCCTGGAATCATGGGCTTGCAGGAAGCCCTTTTATGACCGAAACTCTTAAAGTTAAAAGATAATAAAACATACAATTTGTTTTCACCAACCAAATCGATTTGACGTTATTTTTTGAATACATGGCTTATGAGCATGGCGGAGGTCGGTGCTTTTATTTTGAAGGGCTATTACGCTGACGCGGGTGTTTACTTCCGGTTAGGGCGTACTTTTCTCATCCATACGTCTTCTTCTGGATGTGCTGGAGCCTATCACAGCTGAGAGGCTGGACAGCAGCCTGTCGCAACGTTATTTATTCGAGTCTTCATTTTTGAACTTTCACAAACAACGATTCTTTCTATCAGGCTTCTTCACGTTTCTTCACTGAGCTACGCGACATTTGATCTGTAAACATTAAAAGCTCTTAAAACGGACATTGACGCTTTTATTCTGAAAGGTTTAGCGGAAGTTTTTGTGTTACCGTAACTGGGGTAGCGCGAATTGGACGAGCAAGTTTTGAGGACGAGTGAAAGTGCAGCCGAAGCTCGTAAATACGGAGAGAATGGACGGCGCTTCAATTGATAGTTTAATCCTGAAGCTCCACGACGTGAACGGAGTGAAGTTCGGGGAATACAAGCTGAAGAGCGGCCTGATGACACCCATTTATATCGACCTGAGGGTGCTCGTGTCCCACCCCGCGCTCATGAACCAGGTAACACGTGCTGTCTTCGTGACTGCAGAACAGAACAGCTTAAAGCGATACCGGACACACGAAACGTCTGCCGGATGCACTTTTTAAAGGCAAAAGTATCTGTGTAGGCACTCGTCAGTTCCTGTGTAATATTCATACTCACGTGGTTTATTTCACGGTAATGCAGCAGACACAATGACTGAGTTTCAGGGATCCCCTCCTTTCACGGAAAATAACAGTTAAAACAGATAAGACTGGACCTCACCAGCTAATCACTCACTCCAGCCTCAATAATCGTTACAGGAATCAGCAGCTTTCTGAAGCACAACCGCTCTTCAAGTCACTCAGGATAAGACTCATTTATTTAGATTGGCTTTTAATTAGATTTGTGCTGTGTGTTTTATTATTAATGTATTTTATGTATTTCTGTTTTATATTACTGTGAAGCACTTTGTGGTTTTTATCCTGTGAAAAGTGCTATATAAATAAATTGATTTGATTTGATCAGCGTTTCAAACCATTCAGCCTTAAACAGCCGGTCATTTAACTGTATCAGCTTTCTGATTAACATTTTATTAGAAGTTCATCATCTGCAACACATCACTCTAAACTGGTCTTTTTTTCTGACAACAGACCCAAACTACTGCTTTTTACTTCCAGGTGGCAAATCTCATCTACGAGCGAGTGCAGGAAGAGGGTCTGCAGTTCGACTCTGTGTGTGGGGTTCCTTACACAGCCTTGCCTTTGGCCACAATTATCTGCTCACGACATGAACTGCCCATGCTCATCAGGCGGAAGGAGGCCAAGGACTACGGTGAGCCGCTCTCAGCTGATCAGGTTTTCAAAAAAATAAAAAACAATGCTGCCACTACAGGCTCTGATTAAACTTGCTGTCCAGATGTTTGAAAGACCTGAAGCCTCAGGCAGTACCCCCGCTGAGGTGTGCATGAATACACAGGTGTCCGGTGTAGGCAGACATTAAACTCTCTGAAATCCCAGTTCAATGGTACAGAACCTGCGTAAACCAACCCAAAAAAATAAAATGCAAAGCAAGAAAGTGCGTGCTTCATCTTGCATGCTATATTGTTGGTTAATATTTCATAGTTTGAGAGTTACTGTAAGTTTGTCCTTCAGTATTTGCCTTCTGTAACTCTGCTTCAGGAACCAAACGGCTGGTGGAGGGGTCGTTCCGTCAGGGGGATACGTGCCTGATCATTGAGGACACGGTGACCAGCGGCACCAGCATCCTGGAGACTGCTGAAGTGCTCTACAAAGAGGGACTGAAGGTCCAGAATCTAACCTTACAGTAAAGATAATAATATCATAGTTACGCTGCACTGACGTCATCAAGAGCAGCAATACACAAGAATGACCTCTGACATGTTTTTATTCAAGGTGACGGATGCAATTGTGCTAATGGACAGAGAGCAAGGTGGCGTGGAGATGTTGGCATCAAAGGGAATCAAGCTCCATCCCATCATCTCCATATCTCAGCTGCTCCGTGTGCTACAGGCAGCCGAACGCATCGACGCCCAAACCGCCCAGATTGTCCTCGAGTTCATCCGGGACAACAACACTTTCAGGTACAACTCTCCAGATGTTTTCCCCCGGTGTAGCTGGTGTGTCTGCTTGCATTACGCTACAATCTAGAAACTGTCTGGTGAAACTGTCACCTTGACTCACTCTCAGGCCCAAGAATGGCACAGACTCTCCAGCCAGCAAGAAGCTGTGTGTGGAACAGAAGCTGGAGCTCAGTTATTCAGAAAGAGCCAAGTTACCAAGTATGTAGTCTTAAATTATTTAGTTATTTCACGTCAAAACAGAGACTGGTGGTGTTTTCATTGAGCTCCACACACGTGCTGTGTCTGCTCTTGCTCTTTTCTTTTCTCATTTTCTTTTCCTTCTGTTGTCTGCAGACATCCATCCTCTAGCATCAAAGCTGCTGAAGATTATGGAGGAGAAACAGTCCAATCTTTGTGTGTCTGCTGATGTAACCAGCAGCGATGAGCTGCTCCAGCTGGCCGAGTCGCTCGGTCCAAAGATCTGCATGCTGAAGACCCACGTAGACATCCTCCAGGTACAGCGGGATCAACTAAAACCTCAAATCTGTACATGCAACAAACAAACTGATGGTTTTTTTCCATATGTGTTAACAGGACTACACATTAGCCTTTATTCAGAAAATGCAGGCCGTGGCAGAAAAGCACAACTTTCTTATCTTTGAAGATCGCAAGTTCGCTGACATCGGGAACACAGTCAAGCATCAGTATGAGGGTGAGACGATTTCACGTCTTTTGGTCGTGTAAATTCAAAGTGACTTAAAAATGTCTCCAAAGTAGTCGAACGCTGTGATCTTGTCTTTTCTCCAGGTGGTTTGTACCAGATTTCATCGTGGTCCCACATAGTGAATGCCCACGCAGTGCCGGGGCCGGGAGTGGTGAAAGGTCTGAGCGCTGTAGGGAAGCCTCTGGCCCGAGGCTGTTTGCTCATAGCTCAGATGAGCTCCCAGGGATCGCTGGCTGCTGGTGAATACATGAAGGCTGTGGTGAGCTCATTTCTGCGTGTGCTCTTCTTCTAAGTTTGTTTACATGTGCTTTGTGTTCTTTTCAGTTTACAGCTGCTTTGTGTTTTCATAGGTGCAAATGGCAGAGGAGCACTCGGACTTTGTGATTGGGTTTATCTGTGGCACTAAGCTCACAGAGAGGCCAGAGTTCATCCACGTGACCCCCGGAGTGCAGATGCAGGCTGGAGGTAAGTCTGACAACTTTTACTGAACTTTGAGCTGACGTTTCTTTGTTTATCATCATTTTTTCCACTTATATTCATCATACTAAAAGAACTACGAAGTGAGTTGTGAATGCACTGTCTATATGAAATCCACCCTACTGAAGATACATGGATACACAGTGCATGCACTCAGTGCTACATCCCTTGTTGTTGTAACCCGAGGAATCACACACGTCCCATCAGGAGATTCAGAGAGTTGTGTTAACTCGTTCGAGGTTTTTATAAAGTTCAGGCCAAACTGCACCTCAGGCAGCCTTGCACTCCGCTTTTTGCCTCTTTATGGTGCCATGACTCATTTCTAACACAGGGTGGTGCTGTAGTACATGAAACTACTGCCGCCCCTGCTATTGCTGATCTCCCAAAGTCTGTATCAGTCTCCTCTAAACCTATTTTCCCTTCTCGGCCTCCCTCCCCCCTTACAGGAGATTTGCTGGGCCAGCAGTACACCACTCCAGAGGAAGTTATCTACAGCAAAGCCTCTGATGTCATCATCGTGGGACGAGGCATTTTGGCAGCATCTGATAGGGTGGAAGCTGCGGAGTTGTACAGGAAGTCGGGCTGGGATGCTTACAGAAAGAGAGCGGGCCAGAGCAGCATCTAAGTAACTCTCTGACTCGAGTTTCAGAGTGCACCTGTGACGAGGACCTGTGCAGCTGATCAGAGTGTTTTGAAGGCAGCGTGTAATTATGCACACGCTACCGTTCACTTCAGGTATCACTGCCACATCAGTGTGCAACACTACAGTGTTTGACACTTGGAGCGTGTTCTTGGCAGGTGTGCGTTTTACTGTTGATCTGCTGCTTTAAATGTTTGTGATTCATTCCTTTTAAATTTGTTGCACAACTTGAACTGATTTCTAATCTCAATGTTTTTTCTGATCAGGTTTCAGTAGTTGGTTTTAAATAATGGATTGAGGTCATTCCTCCGGTCTGAGTACTACAGTGATGATTTCGAAATGGGGATTCACTTAAAATAGTGCAGGATGTCTCTTACAGCACGAAAATGACCACATCGTGTAGCTCTGTCTAGGTCACAAAACCACCACCCCTTGCATGCTGTTATATCAGTGCTAAAACACTAGATAGAAATGCTACAATATTTTGTGGGGGTGGTGTGACTGTGAGCTCTGTCTCCTGCGTTTGAATCACCAGCCAGCAGGGGGCTCTGTTTGGGGTTTGTTCGTTCTTTCTGGGCTTCCAGGGGTTCTCTCAGACTTCCTCCCGCACTCCACAAACTTGGGATACCCTCCAATCCCTGCGTGACCCTGAATTGGAGAAGAAGAAGAAGGACACTAATAGTTCAAGCTTCAAGTTCAGGGCATTTTTAATTCACAGAGGTTCTTCATTAGTCTTCACGTGTTCACAAACAG